GGGGGGGGGATCGCGACGGCGGGAGACGAACGGTGCACAGGGGAGTGAGGTGGGGGAGTCGGGATCGAAGGAGGAAGGTGGAAGCGGTGTCGGGATCGGGGGAAGGGGGAGGTCCTGATTTGGGTTGGGGTGGGGGCATGGAGAGTCGGGGGCGCGCACGGGGATAGCGCGGGGGGAAGTCAGGTGTCGAGGGGGGAAATGCGCAGGGGGGGGGAGGAAACGACGCATGGGGGGGGAAGATCGAAAGTCGGGGAGGGGAGGTTGCGTTGTCGAGCGCATTGGCTCCCGCCTTTTTCGCAAAGGCGAGAGCCCTCCCGGCCATGTCACGCAGGAGATGAACAAAACAAAACCAAGAGACAACTCGGGGACGACTCATAACTAATCCCGCGAGCCGCCGCGACGGCCGCGGTTTCGTGGTCTCTTCGCCACTCTAGCCGGGTGCGCCAGTTGTACATCCCGCGGTCCCCTACGACAAGATAGGTTTCCGCAAGGCATAAGCTTTACTTCCCTAAGGGGTTGTTACCACCCTTAGGGGCATATCCCTACCGAGCTACTGACCTACGTGCGAAAGCTTTTAGATGCAATTGCAGAGGTAGGTCAGTCGAGGGCGTTTCGTTCGCTGTAGTATAGATACGCTTGGTTAACGCCAAGTGAACCCGAACGTCGTCTGTCCCTAGGGCGCTGATCTCCTTGGTGCGGAAGAACGTTGGTCGACTAGGACGGTCTCAACCAAGCGTGAAAACCCTCAAATATAATCCTAGTCCCTTGACAATCTTTTTGAAGACAAAACAACAAAATTCGTATTTTATTTTGTCATTCCAAGACGCAAGATTATCAATATTGATGACCAATTAGGAAAGACAACCTAATCTTAAACTTATTATCGGTCTATCGACACTTGCTAATTCCTGCCAGGAGTAACTTCCGCGAATAAATTCCACTGCTATCATACAGATCAACAAGTGATCTGGTTCCTGCCCGAGATTTGAACTCTCGATTTGACCACGCTTCCGCTATCATCTCCAATTTACTTCTGACATGCGCCTTAAAGCATGTGATTACCCCTCAATGCATAAGCATGATAGTGCAATCATCGGGGTAATCCAAATACTATCCCTCTGGTGGGTCCAATCTACGAAAGATTGTTTTTTTCTTTTTTTCTTTTTTTTTTATTACCCTTGTAGAGTCACATAAACGTGACCCTACCATAAGGACAACTCACCAAGGTACCTAACTCAAAATGGCGACCTAGCCATGATAGAGTTGTCGGCCCTCGCGGGCCTCAGCCTCTATCCGGTCGAGTCGTGCGAGCTCCTCCTCGTCAAAAATCAAGGTGGCCATGCGTCCACCTCGCATGACTCGAACCTTCCGTGTACCATAGAGGAAAACCATCCGTGAGGCCATTTTCCAAACTATGGCACGAAACGGTTGATGCATCCGAAAAAGGTGCGTAGTCGTGGTGTCCTTAATCCGGATGACACCGTAGCGCTCCCCGGTCAAGGTAATTTTAACGCTCACAATGACCCGAGAAAGGCATTGGAGGTTACTCGCGCGATGCAAATACAAAGTATATCCATGAAATTCTTTCGGAAATCGGGCCACATTGGCACGAACATCCGCGCGCGAGTTAGGAAAAAATCCTAACCCATTCCTGAGCAATCCAACAAACCCAACCCAGCGTGTGGACGCTTCATCCCGAACCAGTAATAGCGCCCCGCGCGCCGGATCAGCTCCTCGTCCATAGTGTCGCGAACCAACAGATGTCTGGCCTGAGTAAGATCCCGTCGTCCGCTAGTCATCTGCACGCCCGAAAGAGTCGCCTGTTAGAAAAGATGTTCCCAGATTTCACAACCCTCGTCATCAAACGCGGTGACGTCAAAACGTTCAGAGCGAAAGATATTAAAACTCTATTTGCTCGCACCCGTCTCACATGATGAAGGACACTGAATGGTCCTTGCTGGTCATTCAGCCATAATACAATAGATAGGAACATGCCTCCAATCTCAAAAATGTATTCTCTAAAGGAATTTTCTTCATGAATGACGACGAGATTCATGTCTCCGTAATCTCGAGATGGATTAGGAGGCGCAAATTCATACCGTACGATATGTTGTTCATGCTCTATTAAGAAAATATAATCCCGCGGCGGGTTCCTCGCACTTCCATCCCAAAACCGCGGCTCATCCCGTTCTGAAAAAAATTCGAGTGGATTATAGACCAAGCGTCCTTTTCATATCATGCCGGCACGTGATCGAGTCGGCACTGCTATCCATTCTATAGCCGCCTCTCGCATACTGAACAATCGAAGGATCACTGCTTCTGCAGACATCTGAATGACAAATAATGACTTTGTCAAAATAAATCTATATATGTACCAGATTCCCTGAGTAGGAAGCTCCCACCCTTATTTCAAACTTCCTTCTCCCTAGGTCGGCCTAATACGGCCTAACATTGGCTTTTCTCAAGCCAATGTTAGGCCGTATTAGGCCGACCTAGGGAGAAGGAAGCTTGAAATAAGGGTGGGAGCTTCCTACTCAAGGAATCTGGTACTCTGCCTCCGGAGGTACGGACCCCAGAAACCATGATCAGAAATGATCAACAATGCAGTGAAGACAACAGCTGTGATTGCAGTACATAGCTGTATGGGGTGGCATATATCACAGTCATACTCTTTAACGACAATTTTGTGAGACTAAGAGGGCTAGTCTGGTTAGGATAGCTCCCTTAAGCCCCCTACGTTTTTCTGAGCTTCAAGTATATATCTCTTTTTTTGGGAAGCAGAAAAAGACAGGACGCTGGACCTCATTTCCAGTATAGCTGACGATTTTAATGGTTATGCTGTAAGGATAGGATCACTCTGAGTTCTTCTAAGGCAGCATTAAAGAAAGAGTGCAGAAGTAAGGGATGCTGGACCCGGTTTCCAGCCTTTGGTTTTTTGGTAGGGTATTCATTATGAATCGAGCTTTGCTCGTAAGCGAAACTGGCTGAGACTGCCAGGATAACACCGGGTTGAGTTGTGAGGTCCCCGGCCTCGATCCTGTTTTTCATGCTGCAATAAAAAGTTTATGCTTTCCAAAAAAAAAAAAAAATAAAAAAAAAAATCTATATATATCAACTCTGCGTTCAACTCTCTTTCTCTCCCTCGACCGTGATTCTTGTGTCACGGTCCTTCCACGAAGGTAGTGCCTACTTGCACTCCTTTCACACTATTCGAACATGAACTGGCCTTCTTTTGGCTCCAGTTCCCCATACGGTGGTGGCGCCTAAAATGGCCACCCAAAGGTGTTGAATTCAATCGTCCACCACGCGGAAGCATGAGAAACGGCTACCCTTACCATAGGACATCCTACCCTCTAGAAAGTGGTTTGGAATACCCCTCCTCATCCGAACACATTGTTCAGATCTCATAAGTTGGGCTGGCTCCACTGCGACACAGCATGGTATTCCCCCGTCATACGGTCCACTCTGGGTCGATAACAGGGCCGGCTCCTAAAGCAACGAACCCCCGCCCCAGATGTTTCCTGGCGAGAAGGAGCCCCAATTACTAGGTGTAGACATTTCCCTATACTCCGGCTGGGTTTTGACTTAGACGAAAAAAGAATAAGATAGAGATAAGCACTGAGACCTCTTTGGACGGGTACAGAAAGAAAGTGTCATTCGGGATAGAACGGGATGTTCTTTGGGAAGATACTAAATTATTTTCTTATCTTCATTTCCTTTTCCACGGATTTCATTTTTTCGGCATCCGTCAGTCCACCATCTGGACCCCGAATACGAAAATGACAGCATCGGGCCTCTCATGATTTGTTAAACCAGCCTTCACTTAGGGTGGGCACATCTGTATCAGGGGCCCCTCAGGCCTGCCGAGGAGCCAAATCCTCGCACACACACAAAACAAAAAAAAAGCGTAGAACAATTGCCTTACCTGCGGCACACATTGTACGATTATAAGACTTAGACTCTAGTGATGCCAGAAGCTACAAGGTGTGAGAGAAGCACTTCAGCACACAACTCCCGGAGATTGCATTGCATAGCATCTATGAAAAAGTTCAAAAGGACTGAAAAGGCAAATTACCTTCTCAATGAAACCAGCCTTCTCGCTTTCATTTTCAAACTTCCTCTCACAAACAGGGCATGCATCATGCTCCATTGCATGATTCAGGTAAGGAGAGAACATCCTTTTCATGCCTTTCAGGATATCAAGCTTCCTGTTTCAAGGCAGGAACACAGTTTTGGTTATGGCACACAAATTATCAACAGAATGAGATAGAGGGATTGTCAAAAAAGCATATGAGAAAACAAAGAGAAAAACAGCAAGCAACAGTCCATATACAGATCTCCCATCCACGCAGTAAAGTGAGCAGCAACCCAGAATGCACGCCCCCCCTTCAGGAAAACTTCCGAAAAAGTAAAAATCCAAAGCTCAGAAACGGTTGTTGCTCGCCCTCTCCAGAAAAGTATGGTAGCGAACAGAATACTGCAACAGTCATAAGGGTGCTTCTTGAAAAAAGAAACTCCACAACATGCCTGCAAACAGTGCCAACAACACTGTCAAGCACACATGGTTTGAGCTAAGACAGGGACCAGGCACACTGCACATATATCCATCACAAGTGAAAAACGTCATTATTTTAAACTGCTTAGACTTCGACTTCCAACAATCAGGTTGAAATTGGCAACTAACTTTTAAACTAGGGGCATATATTCCTAATTTCCTACTATGACTTTCATAATTGTATATGGCAAGGATTCAGTCCATAAAGCTCCGTTAAGCCCTAAGCGGTCTAGTCCTGGCAGACAGATCACCAAAGATGGATAGCCACTTCAGACGTAACAGGCGGTTGTGTTCCGCACTTCTCTCTCTCTCTCTCTCTCTCTCTCTCTCTCTCTCTCTCTCTCTCTCTCTCTCTCTCTCTCTCTGTTACATGCTGAGAGCCTCCACACGGGCCCCTCACGGGACCCGAGGTTGGATAAGGGCCCCCAGGTCGCGTCACCGCAACCTGGAGGCCCTAC